GGCAGACTCAGGACCAGATCTGGACGCTGCAGCAAACACCTGACCCGACGCACCTACCTGACCAGACGCAGCAACTGGAGGAGACTCGGTAGTCAGTGTGTGCAGGCTCGACACCGGGTGACGGGTAAACGTGGCCAAGTGGCGGCCCGTCCGAGCACACGTGCAGTGGGTCACTCGCTGACTCGCAGGAGTGAACTGGTCAACGCCTCCATCCTGTAGGTCAGCACCACTCACCAAGTTCGTAGAGAACGAGGGGAGGCAAGGACCGGACAGGGAGCCAGAAGGGGCCGCCAGACATGGTAGGACAGTGGAGTAGTGGGCAAGGACAGGACCCCCATAGGGGTCTGCCAGGGAGACTGCAACCGGCCGACTAAGCGGCGTGAGTGTGGTGCGGTCTCGAAAGAAGGAGCGAGAAGCACCTGAGTCAAGTGTGAAGGTGTACAAGGCCTCAACAGGCGCAGTACCAGAGAGAGCAGACTCACCAGCACCTGGAGCAATAGACTCACGAGCACCTAGAGCAGCAGCCTCACCAGCACCTGGAGCAGGAGACGCACCAGCACCTAAAGCAGCAGCCTCACTAGCACCTAGAGCAGCAGACTAGATACTTGGGTCATGTGGCACACACAGGTAACAGGCACCCTCAGCACTAGTAGGCAATGCATACATGGCAGTGAGGATAGCATCATAGTCAAGAGCATAGATATCAACCCTCTGCCTAATCAGCTCCACCCATTCGGGGAGCTCAGCCATGCGCCAAACTCCGTACGCCAGGCGTCGCTCAGACGGGCGAAGCAGCAGGACTCTCGCGGGGCTGACCAGTCCGAGCACCAGTGCGAATGACGTACGGGCAGCGAGCAGTACCCCGTGACCCTCCACGCTGAGCGTACCACTCACAAAGCTGCTCGGGCGAAAGGACCGCGCGCAGACAACGCTGCAGCTGCACCTGGGCACTGCAAGAAGCTCCCGAACTACTCACTCCAGGACGACTCCCACTACGGCCACCCCGACAACCCCAAGTAGCGTACCACTCACGAAGCTGCTGGGGCGTGAGTTACTCACGCGGACGTCGCTAGAGCTGCATCTGGCCACCGCCAGGAGCAGCAGTAGCAGCAGTAGCAGTAGTAGCAGCGCGGCCACCCCTACAACCCCAACTAGCGTACCACTCACGAAGCTGTTGGGGCGTGAGGGACTCACGCGGCCGGCGCTGGAGCTGCATCTGGCCACGCCAGGAGCAGCTGTAGCAGTAGAAAGAGCAGTAGCAGCAGGAGCAGAATTTAACAGCAGTACGGGCAGGGCAGTGCTCACCAGTGGCGAGAAGGGCAGGCGGACGACTGTGGCAACGGCAAGGCCGCTACCACTGCAGGGCGAGGGCTCCGCGGCAGCTGCAGGGGCGGCTGCTCCAGGGGCCAGGGGCGGCTGCTGCAGGGGCGGCTGCTCCAGGGGCCAGGGGCGGCTGCTGCAGGGGCGGCTGCTCCAGGGGCCAGGGGCGGCTACTGCAGGGGCGGCTGCTCCAAGGGCCAGGGGCGGTAGCGGAGGTCCAGGGGCGGGAGCTGCAGGGGCAGCTGCTGCAGGGGCGGCTGCTGCAGGGGCGGCTGCTCCAGGGGCTAGGGGCGGGTGCTGCAGGGGCGGTTGCCCCAGGGGCCAGGGGCGGCTGCTGCAGGGGCGGCTTCTCCAGTGGCCAGGGGCGGCTGCTGCAGGGGCGGCTGCTCCAAGGGCCAGGGGCGTCTGCTGCAGGGGCGGCTGCTCTAGGGGCCAGGGGCGGCTGCTGCAGGGGCGGCTGCTGCAAGGGCGGCTGCTGCAGGTCGGGCGCGGGTTAGGGCAGGGCGCCGCGACGGGCAGTGGCGACGCCGCGCGGGTCCTGCAGGGGCGTCGCGACGAGCGGGGGCGACGCACGGGTCCCGTTGGGGCGTCGCGATGCACAGGAGCCGCGCCTCGCGGGTCCCGCAGGGGCGTCGCGACGAGGCAGGGGCGACGCGCGGGTCCCGCTGAGGCGTCGCGACGAGGTAGGGGCGACACCTGGGTGGCGACAGGGCGGGGCCGCGACTGGCGACGGGGCGGGGCCGCTACGGGCAATGTGGCGGGGCCGCGAAGGGGCCCCTAAGGGGCCGCGAAGGGGCCATGAAGGGGCTGTGAAGGGGCCGCTAAGGGGCCGCGAAGGGGCCGCTAAGGGGCCGCGAAGGGGGGCCGCTAAGGGGCCGCGAAGGGGCCGCTAAGGGGCCGCGAAGGGGCCGCGAAGGGGCCGCAAAGGGGGGCCGCGACGGGCCTCAGGAGCACGGCAGGCCGCTAAGGGGCCGCGAAAGGGTAGGGCAGGTCAGAGCGCGAAACGCGCTTCGGGCAGGTTAGGAAAAAATAAAAATGGTGGGCCCTTAGGAAGAAACGGTCCCACTAGGGAACCCGCTCTATACCATGTGAAGAAAGAAGAATGAATGAACTAGGAAAGTGTGTGATACAAATATGAAACCCTAGAGTTGAGTACCCCTTAGTGTCTACCCCGCTACAGCCTACATAGGCTAGGTCATGTATGTCTGACACGCGATACGTCCGCGGACAAGCTCTCCTCCCGCACCATTCCCTACGTCTTCCTTGGCTTTGTCCCTGACGCGCCTGGCTGGCAGTTTTACCACCCCACCTCGCACCGTGTCTTCCCCTCTCAGGACGTCACCTTTGACGAGCCGGTTCCTTTCTACCGTCTCTTCCCCTACCGCACTGCCCCTCTCCCTCCCCCACCGCTTTTCCTCGCTCCAGGTCCCCCTCCGGTAGACCCCCTCTCCCCTCAGGGTCCTGCTCCTTCAAGTGTGTCTCAGGTAGACCCGCCCCCCTTGGCTTAGCCTGTAGAGGTCACTAGCGACTCAGGTGCTGCTGCAGGAGGTGCTGCTGGGGGTGCTGAGCCTACGCGTGAGGTGCTGGGGAGTGCGGAGCCTGGGGGTGCTGAGCCTGCGGCTGCGGATTCTGGGGGTGCTGAGCCTATGCGTGAGGTGCTGGGGAGTGCAGAGCCTGGGGGTGCTGAGCCTGCGGCTGCGGATTCTGGGGGTGCTGAGCCCGTCCGTGAGGTGCCGGAGGGTGCGGAGCCTGGGGGTGCTGAGTCTGCTAGCGTTCCTCTGAGTCTCGTTTCACGATGCGGGCCTGTCTCACCACAGCACGCACGAGAGTGGCTTGCGTCGCGTACCCGCCTGAAGAGTCGTACTGCTGGAGCTGCTTGTCGTGGAGGCGCTGGGAGTGTTGGTGTCTCTGGTCCTGGAGGTGCTCGTACTGGAGGTACTGGAGCTGCCGGGGCTAATACTGCTCTTGGGGCTGGAGGTGCCGGTTCTGGGGGTGCTGCTGCTGGAGGTACTGGGGCTGGAGGCCCAGGAGTTGGTGCTGTCGACCCTGGCGTTGGAGACCCTGTAGCTGGAGGTGCCGTTTCTGGGGGTGCTGCTGCTGGAGGCCCTGGCGCTCGTCCTGTCGACCCTGGAGTCGGGGACCTTGAGGCTGGAGGTGCCGGTTCTGGGGGTAATGCTACTGGTGGCGCTGGAGCTGGAGGTTCTGGAGCGGCTGGAGGCGCTGGCGCTGGAGGTGCTCCTGCGGGAGTCGCTGGAGCTAGAGGTGCTGCTGCTGGAGGCGTTTGAGCTGGAGGTTCTTGAGCTGCTGGAGGCGCTGGAGCTGGAGGTTTTGGAGCTGCTGGAGGTGCTGGAGCTACTGGTACAAATGGCACTGCACCGTCGCGACTGTTTTTCGCTCCACCGTCACCGTCGTCTCTGCCACCGCCTGACTCCGTGCTTCACCAGGTTCTTAGCCTCCCGTCTTCTACTGGCCTCCCATTACAGCCTGGCGCACCATGCCTGCTCCTTCTCCTTACACTGAGCAGATAGACTTGCGTACAGAGCGTCGTGAGCCTTCGTGTCGTCCTGCCTCGCCTGTTCGCGCGCGTCGCACTAGTCGTCGTGTTCCTCGTGAGCGTCCGCCTCCTGTCCCTGGCACGCACGCTATGGCACTTCGTCCTTCCTCTGTTCCATAGCGTGTTCCCCTACCGTCTCCTCCTGCGTCTTCTCTGCCTGACGTTCAGGACCATGAGTCTGACCTGGTTTGTGCTGCTCACCCTACAGTCACGCGTCTGCTCGCCACTGTTGTCACTGACCCGTCGTTTGAGTCTGCTGCTGCTTCTGCCTTAGTCTCTGAGCTTGTTGACTATTCTGCTGCCTCTACTCTAGACTACACTACTAGTCTTGTTGCTGAGTTTGAGTTTGTCTGTCCTCCATCCATCGGGGGTGAGTGTGCTCTTGGCACGGACGTCCTTGAGGACAGGCAGAAGGACTTTGAGTGTCTTGCAGCCGCAGCGCCTCATCTCGTGGCCATGCTGCTTGCCCCTGAGGGAGACCCGGATGCACCAGACATCCCGACTCCGCGTTCTTACGCTGAGGCGATCGCGGGTCCCTACTCCTTTCAGAGGTAGACAGCCATGGACGCAGAGATGGCATCCTGGAAGTCCACAGGCACTTACGTCGATGAGGTTCCCCCTCCTGGGGCGAACTTAGTCGATGGCATGTGGATTTTCAGGGTGAAGCGGCCGCCGGGTTCTCCGCCTGTCTTCAAGGCTCGTTACGTTACACAAGGCTTCAGTCAGCGACAGGGAGTTGACTTCTTCCAGACCTTCTCCCCCACCCCAAAGATGACCACTCTTCGGGTTTTGCTGCACATTGCTGTGAAGAAATGAGGAATGAATGAACTAGAAAGCAGGTGGGTACAAGTAGGAAAACCTAGAAGTGTTGTACCCCATATTGTCTACCCCACTACAGCCTACACAGACTATAGCATAAGAGTTTGACACACCCCCATAGGCAAAGTGGGGGAGAACAAGAGGTCACAAGAACAGTCAAGCAAAGCAAAGCAAGCTCAGGGTGGATCACAACGTCACCACATAGTGCGAGCACAAGCTCAAGGCCACAAGGCCAGTTCACATGCAAGATCATATGTAAAGGTAAACAAGCAAGTGCAGGTACAGTAAGATCACAGTACAAGCAAGGTCAAGAAGTGAGCAAGTGAGGCCAAGTAGGCACAAGACATAGCATCGTACAGAAGCGCTGATGATCACAAGGCGGAAGTGCCTTGGTAAAGATATCAGCAGTGATGGCCTGAGAGGCCACGTAAGCAAGGCGCAGCTGACCACGCTGCTGCAGCTCACAAGCAAGGAAGTAGCGAAGAGCAATGTGCTTCGTTCTGTGCTCTAGTCTGTGCTCCCGACACAAGGCCAGCATGGCCTTGTTGTCTACGTACAGAATTGGAGGAGAACGAGGCGGATCTCCTAGGTCAGTCAGCAAGTAGGTGAGCCAGCGTAACTCCTGTGCAGCCATGGCCCCCGCGTAGATCTCAGCCTGAGAGCTGGAGCCGAGAACAGAAGACGAACGGGTAGACCGCCACGAAACAGAGCCGGAACCAAGGCTGAAGGTGTAACCCTGTGACGACCGCTGCGTAGCCTGGTCGTCAACCCAAGAAGCGTCTGCGTGACCTGTGAGGACCACTGAACGTCGCCCTCCAAGCACTAGCCCCATGCCCGACGTACTGCACAAGTAGCGCAACACCCTCTTTGCTGCAGCCATGTGCTCTGCTCGGTGTCTCCGAGGAGCAACATAGCGTGCCAAGATGCTAAGAGGGTATGCAAGGTCAGGTCGTGTGCAGGTCATCAGGTACATGAGGCAGCCAACAAGCTCTGGGTACGGGCCACTCGGCTCTACGGACCCATCCGAGGGCAGAGCTGAGAGCGAGTGGCGAGTAGACAAAGAAGTGGCCTGAGGCAAGGAGTATGTGAAGTTGAAGCGGTGAAGGACCTGCTGCACCATGTGTGACTGAGTCAGGGTAATGGTGCGGCGTGCTCTGTCCCGGGTGATCTGCAAGCCAAGGTAGCTGCGCAGTTCACCCAGGTCCGTGCAAGTGTGTCTCTTCTGCAACTCCGACTTCACGTGGGCTAGTCCAGCAGTGTCAGCAGTGGCAAAGACCAAGTCGTCGACGTACACGAGGATGTAGAACGGCGGCAAAGAGGTGTCGGTGCGCAGAAACAGCGACGGGTCGGCAGTAGAAGGAGCAAACCCAAGAGCCGCAAGTGTAGTCCTCAGTGTGTCGTGCCACTCACGGAGCGCCTGGCGGAGACCGTAGACTGGACGCCGGAGGCTCCACTGGGTACCAGGGGGAAACGACCCAGTGAAGCCAGGTGGGCGGCGCAGCCAGATCTCCTCGTGCAGGCTGCCCTGCAGGAAAGCTGTGCTGAAGTGAAGAGAGTGAAGCTTGTAGTCGCGCTGAGCAGCTATGTGCAACAGCACCCGAAGAGTGGTCATCTTCGCGGTGGGAGAGAAGGTCTGAAAGTAGTCAACTCCCTGCCGTTGACTGAAGCCTCGAGCCACGTAACGCGCCTTGAAGACAGGCGCAGAACCCGGCGGCCGCTTCACCCTGAAAATCCACATGCCATTGACGATGTTCGCCCCAGGTGGGGGAACCTCGTCGACATAGGTGCCTGTGGACTTCCAGGAAGCCATCTCTGCGTCCATGGCTGACTGCCACTGTGAGGAGTAGGGACCCTCGATCGCCTCATCGTAAGATCGAGGAGTCGGGATGTCTGGTGCATCCAGGTCTCCCTCAGGGGCAATCAGCGAGGACACGAGATGAGGCAAAGCAGCAGCAAAACACTAAAACTCCTCCTGCGTGTCCTCAAGGACGTTCGTGCTAAGAGCACACTCACCCCCGACAGACGGACGACAGACAGACTCAGACTCAGCAACAAGACTCGCAGCGTAGTCTTGACGACAGCGAGCAGCAAACTCGACAAGCTCAGCAACTAAGGCAGACGCTGCAGTGGACTCAAAGGAAGGGTCAGTGACAACAGTAGCCAAGAGACGCGTGACAGTAGGACTGGCAGCACGACGAGAGTCAGACTCCGGGTCAGCAAGGACAGGAAGAGAGGACTCTGGAGGAGACGGCAACGGGACACGCAGAGGAGTAGTGGAAGGACGCAGTGCCATCTGGTGTGTGCCTGGGACCGCAGGAGGACGCGGACGCGGAGACCGACTACTAGTGCGAGCAGCACGAACAGGCGACACAGGACGAGACGCAGGCTCACGACGCTTAGCAAGACATCCAGTAGGACCAGTGTAGGGAGAACGAGCAGGTAGAGGGGAGGCGGACTGTAACTGTGACCGCGACTGGATAGGCTGTGGACACTCTAAGGGAGGAGCAGGACCAGTAGAGGGCGGGAGACCAAGAACCTGCTCAAGGAGCGGAACGAAGTACGGCCGCGGCCACGCAGCGTTGCCAGACCCAGCAAGGACAGCACCAGTACCCCCAGCGGCAGCACCAGCGCCAGCGGCACCTCCAGCTCCAACAGCGCCAACTCCAGCACCCTCAGAGGCACCAGCGCCAGCAGCACCTCCAGCGCCAACACCGCCAGCAGCTCCAGCTCCAGCAGCTCCAGCTCCAGCATGACCGCCAGCTCCAGAACAGCCAGCAGCTCCAGCAGTACCTCCAGCAGGACCACCTCCAGCAGCCCCAGCAGCACCCCCAGTCCCAGCCGCTCCAGTACCGCCAGTACGAGCACCTCCAGGACCCGTGGCTCCAGTATTTCCAGTGCCGACCCCAGGGTCAGCAGTAACAGCAGCACCTCCAGCTCCAGCAGCACGGCTCCAGCGCCGGGCAAACCACTCGCGCAGCTCCTGTGGAGAGGGTAGCTCCCGCCTCGACGAAGCACCGCCAGAGGCCACACGAGCAGACCCAGCACCCCCAGGCTCTGGCCCCCAGGCTCCGTACCCCCAAGCTCTGCACCCCCAGGCTCAGCACCTCAAGGCTCCGCACCCCCAGGCTCCGCACCCCTTGGCTCAGCACCCCAGACGCAGCACCCCCAGGCTAAGCACCCCTAGACTCAGCACCCCCAGGCTCAGCACCCGTAGCAGCACCAGAGTCAACAGCTACCTCGATAGGCTCGACTTCGTCTACCTGGGACACACCTGACGGGGCAGGACCCTGAGGGGGGAGAGGGTCTACCAGGGGAGGACCTGGCGCAAGGAAGAGCGGCGCCGGGGGGAGGGGCGCTGTGCGGTAGGGGAAGAGACGGTAGTAAGGCACCGACTCATCAAACGTGACGTCCTGGGAGGACAGAACACGGCGCGAGGTGGGGTGGTAAAACTGCCAACCAGGCGCGTCAGGGGGGAAGCCAAGTAAGACGCAAGGAACCGCACGGGGGGACAGCTTGTCCGCAGACAAGTCGCGGACAAACGCCCGAGATCCCCAGACATGGAAAGCAGACGCATCGCGAACCTTCCCCGTCAAGGAAACTCGGGGCTGAAGGTTGAGCTGATGCGCTGCGTACTGAACCGCAAACGGCCACAGAAAATGGGGAGCAGCCCCATGGATCATGGACGTACGAGCGACGTCCATGACCATGCCAATGCGGCGCTCAGCAATCCCATTTTGCTGTGGAGAGGCCGGAAGCGTGAACGTCTAGCAGATGCCCTGTGCACGTCAGAAGGCTCCCAGACGGGAAGAGGAAAACTCCCCGCCTCTGTCAGAGTGCAGACGCAGAACAGGACAGTCCGAGCCGAAACTCTCTCTGAGCTGGACACGAGCCGCGCGGATCCAGTCGATCAACACCTCAGTGATGTCACCCTTGCTGCGAAAGGGGAACACCGTGGTGTAACGCGAGTAGTCATCAACCACCAACAGGAAGTAACGCTCGTGACCCTGGCCACGGACGCGGGCGGGGCCCCACACGTCCATGTGAAGAGTTTGCAGCTGAGCCTCTGTCGGAGGAAACTCGGAGGAGTGAGGGGCGGCGCGCTGCCGCCCCTCGACGCAGGGGACGCACGTAGGGGCAGGCCCCGGAGGGAGGGGAGGGAGGGACCGGGGGAGACCAGAGACAAGGACACGGGAGGCCATGCCTCGGAGAAGAGGCAGGGAGGGGTGACCAAGGCGGTGGTGCCAAAGGAGAGTCTGGTGGGATAGGAGACGACACGAGCAGGGAGCAGACTCAGGACCAGACCTGGACTTTGCAGCAACTACCTGGTTCGACGTAGCAACCTGACCAGACTTAGCAACCGGAGGAGACTCAGTAGTCAGTGTGTATAGGCTCGACCTTGGCCGACGGGTAAACGTGGCCCAGTGTCGGCCCGTCCGAGCACACGTACAGTGGGTCACCCGCTGACTCGCAGGAGTGAACTGGTCAACCCCCCCATCCTGTAGATCAGCACCACTCACCAAGTTCGTATAGAACGAGGGGAGGTAGAGACCTGACAGGATGCCAGAGGGGGCTGCCGGACACGGTAAGACAGTGGAGAAGCGAGCAAGGACAGGACCCCCAGAGGGGTCCGCCAGGGAGACCGCAACCGGCCGACTAAGCGGCGTAAGCGTGGTGCGGTCTCGAAAGAAGGAGCAGGAAGCACCCAAGTCAAGGGTGAAGGTGTGTAAGGCCTGAGCCGACGTGGTACCTGAGAGAGCAGACTCACCAGCACCTGGGGCAGCACACGCACTAGCACCTAGAGCACCAGCCTCACCAGCACCTAGAGCAGCAGCCTCAATGCCCTGGTCAGGCGGAACACACAGGTAACAGTCACCCTCATCACTAGTAGACACAGCATACATGGCAGCAAGAATAGCATCATAGTCAAGATCAATGATGGCAACCCCCGCCCTAGACAACTCTCCCCAGTGAGGGATCTCAATGGCGTCAGGGAACTGGTGACGCCAAGCGTCCGTCAGGCGGCCGAAGCAGCGCTGGGTGGAGTGCGAGCCCCCGCACTTCTCACAAGCGCGGTCGCCGGTACGGAGAACGTAGGTACAGGGACCAGTACCCCCACCTCGCTCACGCCCAGCGTACCACTCACGAAGCTGCTGGGGGGACGGGGTCTCACGAGTGCGCTGCTGCTGCTGGCGCTGACCACCACCTAAGCCGACCCGCTGCCTAGAACCACCCCGACTAGCTCCACCTCCTCCGTCGCCACCTCCGCCACCGCCGCCACCGCCTCCTCCTCCGCTCCCACCGCCACCGCCGCCACCTCCGCCACCGAAGCCCCCACCCCCGCCACCACTCCCACCACCACCCCCACTCCCTCCACCTCCTCCACCTCCACCTCCACCGCCCCCGCCAGCCCCTCCAGCGCCCTTGCCCCCCTTGCCCTTGCCGGTGCAGCGTCGCCCGCTAGGGGCAGCTTGGCAGCGGAAGGGGCCGCTAGAGGCGGCGACGGGGCCGCGAAGGGCGACGATGGGGCCGCTAGAGGCGGCGACAGGGCCGCGAAGGGCGGCAACGGGGCCGCTAGGGGCGGCGACGGGGCCGGGAAGGGCGGCGACGGGGCGACGAAGGGCGGCGACGGGGTTGCTAGGGCCGGCGACGGGGCCGCTAGGGGCGGCGACGGGGCCGATAGGGGCGGCGACGGGGCCGCTAGGGGCGGTGACGGGGCCGCAAAGGGGCCGCGAGGGGCCTCGAAGGGCGGCGACGGGGCCGCTAGGGGCGGCGACGGGGCCGCGAAGGGGCCGCGAGGGGCCTAGAGGGGCGGCGACGGGGCTGCGAAGGGGCCGCGAGGTGCCTAGAGGGGCGGCGACGGGGCCGCGAAGGGGCCGCGAGGGGCCTAGAGGGGCGGCGACGGGGCCGCAAAGAACGGCGACGGGGCCGTAAGGGGTGGCGACGGGGCCGCTAAGGGTGGCGCGAGGGGCCGTGAGAGGCGACGTGAGGGCGCGCCTCGGGCAGGGGGGACTCGTGCTCCGGTCAGGAAAAAAAAAGTCGATTTCAGTGGTGGGCCCTGAGAAGCGTTCCCACGAGGGAACCTGCTCTATACCATGTGAATAAATGAGGAATGAATGAACTAGAAAGCAGGTGGGTACAAGTAGGAAAACCTAGAAGTGTTGTACCCCATATTGTCTACCCCACTACAGCCTACACAGACTATAGCATAAGAGTTTGACAATTGCCGCTCAGCGTGACTACGAGCTTCAATCTCTGGGGTTCAGCACAGCGCTCTTACAGGGCAGTCTGCACGAGGAGATCTGGCTCCGCCGCCCACCTGGCTTCACTGGGTCGTTCCCTCCTGGTACCCAGTGGAGCCTCCATCAGCCAGTCTACAGTCTCCGTCAGGCGCCTCGTGAGTGGCACGTCACACTGAGGACGACACTTGCGGCTCTTGGGTTTGCCCCTTCCACTACTGACCCGTCGCTGTTTCTACGCATCGACACGTCACTGCCGCCATTCTACATCCTCATGTACGTCGACGATTTGTTCTTTGCCACTGCTGACACTGAGGCTCTCGCCCTTTTGAAGTCGGAGCTGCAGAAGAGACACACGTGCACAGACCTGGGTGAGCTGCGCAGTTACCTTGGCTTGCAGATCAACCAGGACAGAGCACGCCGCACCATCACCCTGACTCAGTCACACATGGTTCTACAGGTCCTTTAGCGCTTCGGCTTCACTTGGTCCTCGCCACAGTCCACTCCTCTGGCTGCAGGTCACTCGCTCTCAGCTCCACCTTCGGACGGGTCCGTAGAGCCGAGTGGCCCGTACCCAGAGCTAGTAGGCTGCCTCATGTACCTGATGACCTGCACTCGTCGTGACCTTGCGTACCCTCTTGGCCTTCTCGCACGCTACGTGGCTCCTGGTAGCACCGAAAGGTGCACATGGATGCTACGAAGAGGGTACTGCGCTACTTGTGCAGTACATCGGGCATGGGGCTCGTGCTTGGAGGGCGGAGTTCAGTTGTCCTCACTGGACACTCAGACGCTTCTTGGGTTGACGACTTGGCTACGCAGCGGTCGTCACACGGTTACACTTTCAGCCTTGGCTGGGGCTCTGTTTCTTGGCGGTCTACCCGCTCGTCTTCTGTTCTCAGCTCCAGTTGTGAGGTTGAGATCTACGCAGGGGCCATGGCCGCACAGGAGTTACGCTGGCTCACCTACCTGCTGACCGACTTGGGAGAGCCGCCTCGTTCTCCTCCAGTTCTGTATCTAGACAACAAGGCCGCCATTGCCTTGTGTCAGGAGCACAGACTGGAGCACAGAACGAAGCACATCGCTCTGCGTTTCTTCCTGGCTCGAGAGTTGCAGCATCGTGGTTAGCTTCGTCTTGCTTACGTGGCCACTCGGGTCAACACTGCTGAAATATTCACCAAGGGACTTCCGTCTGGTGATCATCAACGCTTCTGTACTATGTTAAGCCTTGTGCCTGTTTCGTCTCACTTGCTCACTTAGTGACTTTGCTTGTACTCTGATCTATATATATACTTGCATGCTTGCTCTTGCTAAGTAGTGATCACAGTACTGTTGTTGTCGCATATATACCTCTGCATGTAAACTGGCCTTGTGGCCCTTTGCTTGTGCTCGAGTGTGTGGCGACGTTGTGATCTACCCCGAGCTTGCTTTGCTTTTCTTGACTGGTCTTGTGACCCCTTGTTCTCCCCCATTTTGCTTATCGGGGTGTGTCAAACTATATATGTGTTTGAATAAAGGAATGGATCCCTTAGAGTACATGGCTAGCTTGGACGATTCGAATTCCCCTGTACTCATATTTATATATTTGTATTTGCATGTTTTTATTATCTCAAGCATTTTCATTCACTCTGCTATTGAGGTCAAGGGCCCACCACCACTAATTCAGTAGTGTGCGAACCTTCCTGAGGTGATCCTGAGCTCGATCAACTTCTGATCGCAACATGGTATTAGAGCGACTCGGGAATCCTTCACACTGCCATCTTCGAAATATGCGATATTCGGAAAGTGGCGTCCGGCACATGATCGCGTGTGAGAATGGCCAGAGGATCTGGCGGTCAGACGAATCTGACAGCTGAAACGCAGCCCAACCCAACTGCAACAAGCGAGGAAACGATGACGATCCCTTCCGCCGTCCTCGCACAACTGCTTTAGCGACTCACAAGTCTGGAGCAAGGGCTCCAAAAATTGCGGAATGGCGATGCGGGATCATCCTCCCAACCCACTCAACCGGCCTCGAATGGCCAGAACTCCGCCCCGCACACCTTCTCTCTCGACACAAATGGCTCAACACCCAAGACTCCCTGTCCAAGCGATGAGACAATTCTCTCTACGCAATCAAGGTTTTTGAGCAAAAAAAAAATAAAGACAAGATTGTGCTTTGACGGCAGAGACTTCTATACTTGGAGCTTCGAGCTGGAGCTGCTGCTGCAGAACGCGCAGATTTTTCACTACTTCGACGGGAGCTACTCGGGACCTGCGGAAGACACCGACGATGCAAGAACCAAGCACTACAACGAGTCACTGATGGCGTACGTGGTCCTTCTGCGAAATATGTCGCCGACGGAGCAACTGAGCATTCGCTCATACAAAACATCGCCTGCTTTAGCCCTCAACGCCTGGCGTCACCTGAACGGTGTGTATCAACCAAAGGATTTGGTGTCGTCGAGCCGCCTGCTCCAGCAGCTACTGGAGACCAAAATGGCACTAGGAGAGAAAGCCAACAGCTATCTGAATTGCTGTCGGAGCTTATGCGATCAAAACGCGAAACTAGGGAGCACAATCTCTAAGGAGATCTTCGTGAACATCGTGCTCCAAGGGCTCGGCCCAGAGTGGCGGCCCTGCAAGGCGCTTCTCCAACAGCAGGGGGTCATCTCGGAGGTCGCCCTTTGCGCTGCTACTTCTCCACCAGCAGCGACCAGCGCCGCGACGAGACAGGGAACGCCTCGCCTTCTACTGCAAGATTTGCAGAGACTTCGGGCACTTGGCAGATCGATGCAAGTCCCGATCTCAACGGTTCAGCACCAGCAGAAGCAGCAGTCACAGACTGTCCCCGTCCACAATGTCATGGGAAACATGACAATGACAAGCGGATCACGTCGCTCGTGCGCGCACTCACCATCACCTGAGCCGGCGCTTCACCCGATCGGAGCGTTCTCGAACAACAACTCGTTCAGCACGCGTCATGACTTCAGCGACGACGACAAACAAGACTAGAATCTTCCAGTTCCGCTGCTTGAAAGCTCCCCGCACGTACCAGATATGCGGCCGGCACCGATCGTCTGGATCGCACGTGAACAATTCCTCAAAGTTGACACACCACACATCGTTACCCCGCGACTGGCGCTGCTCGCACGTAACGACAACAAGCGCTACAACATGTGGTACCTGGATAGCTGCTGTGGGCAGCACATGGTGTGCTCTGAGCGTTACATATCCAACGCGGTCGCCACCCCCGCCGTCACCTACGTCACCGTGGTGAACAATACGCGGCTGCGCGCAAGCGCTTAAGGCATCGTCGTGCTCAAAGCCCATGGGAGCGAAACGCACATCACCTTGAATGACATGTTGATTGTGCAGAACGTGCGCTTCAACCTGCTCTCAGCGGCGCAACTCATGGATTGCGGAGTTCTTCTCAGCACCGACCCCAAGACGCGCGACATTCTGCTCTACTTCACGATGCCGAACAAGATGCGCAAGCATATCGGACAAGCACACGCCGAGAACGGAGTGTATCTTCTCGACTTCGATATTCCCGACTGCAGCGGTGATTCGCAGGAGCTGATTGACCTTGTCCCCTTGTGCTTCGAGCACATACATCGCCGAGACTGGAAGCACCCAGATGGGCGCCCATGGGTGCCACATCACCCACATCCACGCGAGCTGGCGCTGCATGACCCCGATCCTGACGGCGTCTGCAGGGACTGCCACACTCCCACGTCCTCTACGAGCGCGATCGCCGGCCGAGGACTCGCCGCCATCGCGGAGGCAGAGAGGAAGCGTTGCCTGAGGAGGGACTATCCCAACTGGAGCTGGAGACCACTACGCGGGTCATCTTCGGCACACCAGAACATCCCCTCCCCGGATCCGCATCTCAACACCTCCAAGGCATGCTTCGTGGCGTCAGCGTCGGCACCTTCGACGCCCACGGTACACCACGGCCCTACACTGAAGGAAAGGCGGCGGAGATATATTCTCATCGGCGCGACTCAAAGAAGAAACTCTTGGTGGCGCAAGAAGAGATATTAGCACGACGCGAAGCTGAGGAGCTTCGCCAGAAAAGCCTCGCTGAGGCACGTGGAATGCTCGCCTGGGAAACCGAAGAGGAAAGCGCCTCCAATGAAGGGGGGTGGGGGAGCGCCGGCGGACGGGGGACAAGCCACACTGGCGGCTGGGGCGCAACAACTGGCGAAAACGCCAGCGGATGGGGCGCCGCATTCGGCGGCAAGACAGGCGGCTGGGGCACTTCTGGCGAAGGCTAGGGAGCCTCCCGCGAGGACCAAAGGGGGGAAGAAGTAGCAGAAGAAGCAGCAGCACCTGTGACTGTTCCTCTTGGTCGCCCACCGCGCCACTCTGCACCTGCCTTACCTCCACCTGATCTCCAGCCGGAGCGCGATCCTTGGGATACCATTGACTGGGGCAACGAACAATCCACTCCACGCCGCACTGTCTATGGACCTGCCCCTGAGCCACGCGAACCAACATACGTTCTCGGCACGATCCCCGGGACCAACATCCCCTACTCCATCATTCGCGACAGAGAATTTCTCGCCTTGATGCTGACGACTTCAAACGAAGAAGGCGAAGAACGCGAAGAAGCAGCGGCGGGACCTACTCAAGTTCCTGACGAAGATCCCGCAGCAGCACTCGCGTGCTACATGCGCACCTCCGGATTTCGCGCTAATGACGCCATCTGGCACCAGTGCCTAGGTCACCCCTCCCGCACGACCCTAAAGAACTGCATCGAAGCTGGCGTATTTGCGCCTAGCGCCCTTCTGCGCCCTGACGGCACCAAAGTACGAGGCGAAACACACCCACGCAACTGCACCGTCTGCCCCGAAGCCGCGCTGAGCCACCGACCGTTCCCCTTCCTCAACCTAGGCACCAATCGCTATGCCAAACTGGAGAAAGTATATAGCGTTTTTCTTAACGTGGGACA